CTGCCTCTTCCCACATTCCTGGCGAGACAGATGGTGTTACATGGGACACAGGGAGGTTTGTTCAAACAGCAGCAACCTTCAAAGATCAAGCAGAGCCCAGCCCGCCGCGCGCCATTGAGGGACCCGCGCTCATATGTTGCTGAGTTGCATAAACAAACAGCAACAGCTGTTTTGTCTCCCCCCATCGCCCTCCGAGGACTACTATAAACTTTAGTTGTGCCACTGTTAATATGATACAATCATTTTAATTTACTAATTGTAAATGCCACGAGCAAATGAGGGGACTTTTCAACACCAAAGCTACCATTCATAATGCGCCAGCACCGGCGCGTTCTCGCATGTGAAATTTCAGGCGGTTGCGTTGGATAAATATCTAGGCAGGTCTGTTGTGGGGTTGGCTTTTTTTTTCCCCCTCGGTGTTTTTAATGATTCAAAGCAAAAGAAAGAACCTTACGGTGGATCACGTTAGGAAAAATACACAAGTGAAAATGTGTGTGTGTACCAGAAAAGCCAGGGGAAGGAAAGAATAGGAGAAACCGCTCTCCAGAATGTTTTATATTGATTTAAGATCAAGCAAAAGATACGGTTCTCTTAAAAATGCTAATTGCCAAAATCGCGTGATTAGGAGACCCGTGTTTGCCTAACTGAATTTACCTTATGCTGAGGAAAACCTACCAAGAGAAATACAGCTGATCATGATTTTCAGGTTTTAAGAAAAACAGGAACGGCATAAAGCCTCCACCACAATTGGACACAATGCACACATTTATTTATTTAAGTTTTAACCATGCCATTTGAGTTTCCATTACAGCCCTCCATAAGACGGGTTTTTCGAGAACTAATTCTCCGGTGAGGACGGGAGTGGTTTTTCTGCTGGCACGTAAAGAGTTTTGGGGCACAGGTCTATCGCCAGGCTGTTTAGGAGCACTACGGAAGCTCAGTCACCTGTTTGAGATACGCAGCATTTCCTTAAATGCAGCACTGATATAATATTACACGCACTACATCGAGGAAAAAAATGGTTTGATTTATTGCAGATACACCGCCGGGCTATACGCACGGTAGCGATGCCGCAATCCTACTGCGTGCACGTGTTAGCGGCACGATCACAAATGATAGCCTGTACGGACTGTAGGAAGAGTTATTCTAAAAATGTGTAATTAGGTTTAACAAACGATTATACCAAATACGCATAATTTCACGTGACTGAAAAGGTTACTCAAAAAGTAATGAAAAAATATTAGCGGGTGTTTCTAGTGTGTCTTGGAGCTCCTATTTGCAACACTGCAAAGTAAAACTAGGTGAAAAATGGAATTAAAATTGCTGAGATGTTTAATAATGTATAATTAAAATGCTACACTTTCATTCACTTTTTGAGGAACATAAAAACGAAACTAAAGTCAAGTTAAAGTGCAAATAAAATTTCTAAATTAGAAATTAACACACTCATTCGATCGTGAACATAAGACTATTAAATCATATTAGAAGAGACCATCAAAAAATCATTTAGACCTCAATTAAAGCTATTACCATTAAAAGATCTGCATCTTCAAAATGCCATGAAAAATTAATAATGATTGCCAATCAAAGCAATATCGTTTCTCTAAGGGGTTATTACAGAGAGAAATCACTTAAAACCAGCCCCCCACCTGATCTGTCCCTGGCTTGTGTGTCACCATATGCCGCTCGAGCTGGGTGCGGTAGGCAAACGTGTAGTTACAGAGAGGGCACGAGAAGTTCTCCTCGTTCTTCTCGTGGCGGTACTTGATGTGCTCCTTGAGGGACGTCAGGCGCTTGTAGCCCCGGTCGCAGTAGGGGCAGGTCAGCAGTTGGGCGAAGGCATCTGGAGTTCCAGGTGGCAGGTCTGCACCCCAGGACGTGGCGGGGAGGGGGGGAAAGAGGCAGGCCAAAAGGTCAGCAAATCAATGGCAGCTCATGGGCTGATTGCCCGGGATGGTATGAGAGGAATCGCTGCAATCTGCTGCCCGAGAGGGAGGGACAGTGCTTCCAACCAGCGGCGGGAGGCACCGGCACCCGCGCACGCCCACGGCAGACTCGCAGGACCCGCTCCGGACCCTGCTAGGAAATTAATTACGGGCATCGCTCCTCCCGCAGACATCGCTGGCTGGAAAACTAAGAAATACTTCTGATCAATTGACAATTTGCATTCCAGCCCCAGTTCACTACGTTACTTACACCACTGACCGAGAATCCTTCCTACCGACGCTTCTCCAATTATTTATCAAGAGCGATGGGTTGGCTACCCCGCCTTTTGTCGCACTAAAACTCACTTAAAACTTCCCAAACTCCCAACTAGAGGGGCAGCCTTTCTCCCGTTTAAATTCCGCTCTTCAGTTCACCCACCAAATAATACAAATTCGCCGACTAAAAAATCACAATACGCTGAAATTACAGCCCCAATCTTTGCTCACGAAATTCCATGCCGCTGCAGCTGTTCTTCAATTTTTAAGGTAAACACCCAGGCATGTAGTGCATTTATAATTGCAACAGCTGCACGAGGTCAGGATACTGGCTAAAAATGAATTACAGCCTCACCATTTTCTTCTTGCCCATTGGCCTCTGGAGTGCCAAGGCGAGACAGTTCCTCAGGGGCTTCGGGGTAGATAATGGCTGTGTCGCTGCGCTGCAGGTACTCTGCGATGCTGACTGCATGCCCATCTCCTTCCTCCAGTTTCCTTTTGGCAAAATACTCTTCAAAGTCCGACGTGCAATTTGCATTCTTCACTAAAACGAGAGAAGGGGAAGAGAAAGGGGGTTGAGCGTACCCTCCCCAAGAGCTCAGGTCAGCGAATATTGTGGGCTGAGCTGGTGTTCATGCTGGAGCTACGAGGCTGGGGCTGCAGCTGGAATCCTTTCTCTCATCCGTCCTCTCCAGCTTCTAATAAAATTAACACAGGCGTTCCACCCGCATGGATGGAAGTAAGGGCGGGAAGTTAAATTAATTGGAACACGGGCTCCACGGGGCAGCAGGAGAAGTTTATGAGTCTTGGGTAATGCAGGTAATCCTTCATCTATGGAACTTGAACCTTCAGGGGGTTCCTGGGGGACCAACGCTTTTGGCATGAACACAGCTCAACCTACTGGACTGAGCTCAGCTGCCCCCACATCCCCCAGACAGTTCCCGTGTCGGAGGCGGTAGTGGCAGGTGGTAAAAACCCACAACCACTTCTCCTCCATGAGGTCCTGCCTTGGGCTGCTCTTCCGTGGCGGGCACAAGAAGAGAATTGCTCACAACATCTTCCTTTTGTTTTTTTTTTTTTTTTCCCCTGAAAAATTAACTTACAATGGGAGAATAGTTTGTTTTAAAAAATCATTGCTTCATGGATTTCTGCAAACAGAACCACATGTTTTAGACCATAGCAGAGATAAAACCACTTTTGTACTCTGTACAAGAGTTTTCCTTCTTTTCCTTAAATGTAAACTAAATTTTTTGTTGTCCATGCAATGCCCATGAAACATAATATAGGCTCAACCACAAAACATCCTGTTACTAAAAATATGCTTTTCTCCTCCATGTATGACACTGCATACAGAAAAGACCTTAAAAACTCTGGGACACTATAGACAAATATTAATATAATTATACCAGGAAAAAAAAAAAAAAAAAGGAGCTGTTAATTTTCTTACTATGTTTTGGGTTTTTTTTATTAACAAGTCTTGGAAGACACAGTTAGTGGCAGGGAATTAAAGATACTTGTTTTTAACTGACCGTAAATGAAAAGAACAGCTTATGATTGATTACATTTTTAATGTATTTCTCCTTAGGTGAAATAAGAAAATGAGGCAATGCCATAAACCGTTCTACAGTTCATGTAAAAGTAAAATACTAAATGGCCCCATTCTGCTCTCACTGACGCCGGGGAGCAATACGGAGTAAACTTATGGAAATCAAAGAGTTTATGGCCCTACAGGGTTATATGGGTTTGTAACCACCAGGAACGAGAGACTAACCAGATCCTTGGTGTTTAAAGAAAGGTAAAGGTTTTGCCTCAGTTTCCTAGAAAAATGCAAAGCGATGCTGGCAGTCGAGATGTGGCCTCTGACTGGGGCACAACTGGAAACCTGGAAGCACCTGATTTGAAGCGCTGACCTCTCCATCATCGATAAAAGTAGATATCCATCCATGCAAACCTCATCCCTTTTGCCAATAAAACCAATCCCTCGCTGAGACAAATATGTCACATTTTTCATATGAGCTGAGCAGCTTCTCAACCATTCTGCAGTATTTTTGTGACCAGTGGCAAAGGTCAGGGACCCTTCTTTTTGGAAGGAAACTTCTGTTCCTACCACAGAGGTTTTGTGGGGCATCACTATAACACCACAGAGCTCTTCCCTTGGTCCTTCTGTAGCTCTTGTTATCATGTTATTCGCATGAAAATCAGTACCTTTTTTTTCCCCCTCCAAAACTGGTAACTGCTAGAGAAGGGGAGCGTGAGTATGGAGGACAAGACCAAGTACCTTACCTCCATTTTGTTGCTGTGAGAGAGATGTAACAAAATGGCGGTCACTGAGGTACATCTTATGCACAGGAGCGTCAGACCATGTTTCTGACATCGTGTAAACAGAACAGAGCTGAGGCATTACTTTTTATGTTGGAAACTTGACTTTTCATTCCCTTGCTATGCCTAGATCTTCCAACTGTTGCAAGATCATCCACCCCCCCGGCCTAATGCTATCCCATCTTTTGACTTAGCAATAGATCCAAGGAAAACGAGTTTATTTCTTGCCAGAATCAGGCCGTGACCCAGTAAAACTACCTATGAAGCAAGGAAAGAGACCTTCTCTCTGGACAGGACATATGAGAGCAGGAAAGGGAAAGGGTGGGATGACTCCAAGGGAAGGCTCCATGTGTCCTTCTTCTCCAGGCAGGCTGGTGAGTTTTGGAGCTTGCAACTGCATTTATAGGGTAGGGATTCAAGGCCTGAGTCAATATTAGGAGCTTCAGACCCAAATTCAAACCCAAATGAGGTTCATCCTTCCCGGCCCCCAAGTCTATCTGGAGGCTGATCCAACGGACGACTGCTATGATATTACTGGCCTTGACTTCCTAATTCTCTGGATTATTTAGCTTCCATGTCTGCGCATGCAACCCGGGAGCTAAAGCAAATGTTTATGTCTACATTATAAACCCCTAAAAACAAGAGGATTTAGTGGAAAAGCTGACAGATCCTTAACTGAAACAGTACAACCAGTGCCACAACACTGCAGATTAACATAAATAGCAAGAGGTGACCATGTGTATCTGGTTTCTCATCAGCGACGTTACTGACAATTGAGACAGGGCTGGAAGCTCACCCAGTGTTACTAAAAAGACCCATCTGATAACCATTACATTTCCCTCTCGATTTCTGGGGGGAAGGCTTGCTTCCCCCGCCTCGTGCCCTAATTTGTTTTCCATGCAGAAAGTCATGTTCCCGGATTCCTCGTGGGCTGACACTGCACACACATTGCACATCCCCTCCTGCGAGGCAAGAACTTCAGCGAGATCTACGGCGGGTGACCTCACCAAATAAGTCTTTTTTTAATTAATTATTGGAGCTTGGAGAGCAGGAATATTTTCAGCTCCAAAAACTGATGTGGCCATGCCACATAAAAATAAAACGCATTAAGGAAAGCTATCTTTGGAGGCATTTAGGGCCTTTCAAGATAAAGTGAGACAGAGGTTCAAGGAGCTTGGGAGACCAGTTATTTTGTGTGGGAACTCGTCCTGTGAGATGGTGATAGCTGCCCTTAATCGCAAACAAAGCTAATAAAACCACAGCCTTCATTAGCCAGGAAGTGAGAGGCCCCCATTGGTACACACAGATTACAGCCTGAAAACGGCCTGTCCTCCGACCTGCCAAGTTTTACTTCTGTTTTCCTCCCCTCAAAGTTTTTTTTCCCCTTCGTTAAATTGTATTAAGAGATCTTGACTCAAACCTTGTCAGATATTAGTAACTGAAACCGGGAAATTCTTTTGTTTGTTTACAGGGAATTTGTTAATCTATTTTCTGCAAGTGTCTCAGTTATAGTAACCATAACAGGTACAATAACATAAGCCATAGAAATTTATTAATTCTCATTAAAAAAAACCAAAAACCCACCTTCTGCAAAACATGATTTTGTCAAGTGACCATTTCAGGAACCCCCAGAAATATTTGCAAATTTATTTATCAGGACAAAAGACTAAAATCTCACTGCAATGATCACTTTTGCTTTTCAATTATAAAGCCTCCATGGCTCATTATAAAAATGCAGCTGATTAATATATGGATAACAAGATTTATTTTTTAAGTACGACTAGGAAGTGGCCATTCTGACAGGAGCAGAATAATTTAATCACAAAGTTTTTTTTTCTTTTAGTTTTCTTTCTCTACTAACGACATTCTGCAATGAATTTGATGCTAAAAATACACCCCAGTTGTTGCATGTACCTACAGCAACTTTGCAGCTGGATGTATGTGAATGCGTCCGAAGTTGTATCTCCTACCTGTGTGCTCATTCCAGGCTACAGAGCGTTATGAGATCTGGTGTCAAGAGGGAGAGGCACGTTGTTTTAAATGAGACTGACCACCTTGGCCCACCTGGAAGAGCCCATGTCAATCTGTAGGAAGCCCTAAATGGCTTTCCTGGAGACCGGAAGGTCACTGTGGTATGGCTTTCACTGAGGATGGAGTCACGGATCCAACGTCTTTCATTGGGCTGAGTCTCAGCCTCACCTCAGCTGTTTTATTTAACATCAGTATTAAATCCCCCTACTACCTGCAGGGAAAAAATGAGGCCAAACACTCAAGACAGGCCCAAAGCATATACTGAGGGTGAAGAAAAAGACTTTGAACATTTCCCAGACTAGCTAGGAAAGTTATCCAATGGGTCTTCCCTTTCCTCCTGAAATAATGTTTGGGGTACCTCAACAGGCAAGCAGGGCGAGTTTTTAATATGCACGAAGCAAATTAAAATTTGCTTTTTAAATTAATTTTTTTTTAATTAATTTGTTGCAGCTCCTAATAGTCACCTGGCATCTTCCACTCCAGGTGAAAAGACTGGCAAAGGCATTTAGTTGATCAGATGATTTAATATGACTAAATAATCTGACAGCGCTCCTAAGAGACCATAGAGACTGCTGCCATTACAGAAACATGTTCTACCCAACCTTCCCCCGCGTCAGCCTCCACCGGAGGAGGTGGCTCTGGGTGCCTCAGTGATAAAGGATCTGAACTCATAATGATTATTTGAGCAAGCCGCCCGTCGCAGCACACACCAGCTGGAGCAAAGAGGAGGCTGGGACTTTTGCACAGGACATTTGAGGAAGGAATTGTCAGGTGCAACACCCAAAGCAGCTTTTACGTTTCGAATGCAGGCTACCAAAATGCAAAGCACTCTTAGGACCACGAGTTTGCAGCGCAGCAGGCTGGCTAGGGGTGATGCTTATCTTTTCCCCCAGAAAACTGGTTTCGGAAGAGGCCATGGACCTGAGACTGAGCTAGTGGCAGGGCTGCATGGGGCCTGACGGCACTCTGCCCCCAGAGAGATACCGTGAGGCCGAAGTCAAGCAGGCAGAAGAGACCATCAGATACTGGAAGGGAAGGGGCTAAGAGGACATAAAGTCTTCCCCTTGAGCTGACCACACTGCAAGTATGAAAGACTCAAGGCCTGTTATGGTAAGGAAAATATGTGCAAAGGAAGTCACACGGACTGATAGGGGACCTCAAAGGCTCTGGTAATGGTAATTCAGATAACCATCAAGTCTTATTTCTGAATCAGACGTCTTCTAAAGTCCTGTTTCTCCAAGTGCTAAGCACAATTTGTCATTTTATTGACGTCCCTTGGAAATATAAAAGCTTTCAAAATACATATGTATCCTGTTCAGTTCTGCAACATCATTAAGTATATACGTAATGACAAATTGTGCCTCGGTGCCACCCTCCTTTGATGCACAGTAAATCTGATGGATGAAAAAAGCAGTGACATGGGTTTATTTTTCTATTATTTTCCCCCCCTCAAGAATTGTAAAGTAAATTTCTTGTGTTACTTAATAAGAGCATTGGGGTTTTATGTAGGTGTTACCAACATTAGGAAAGCGTGAGTAATAAAATCCTTGCAAGAGTTAGGTACCAGCTTTTACAGTAATATTTGTAGGGGGCATTACCTATGAACTAAATCTCATACTGGAATGCACAGAACTGTACTTATACTAGAAAGCTCTTAATCGTGTAAATCGGGGCTATCTGCAACATCTCAAGTTGTGGCAAAATGCAAAAGAAACATGGGGTGATGTATGGCGTTCAGCTGTGCTGAGGATGGAGTGGGGCCCTGTGGCCTTTGGAAAGAACATGGTAAACCCCTGAATTCATTTGGATTAGAAAATAGTAACAGAAACCTTTTGCTGTTTTGCTTTGCTAAGAAAAAAAAAGAAATGGCTCGGAGATGATGCCTGCTAAATATCTCTGTCCCCTTTCTTGTTCCACAAAATGTATTGATTTCTAAGAAGAGAGGAAAGAAAGAAATGTGGAAAGTGGAAAAAAAAAAAGATTAGCCAGAAACATAATAATCTCATAAATATGCATTTAAAGTGTGTGTGTCTGTGTATCTATGTAAGGGGTTTATGTGTGTCTTGCTGAAAAGATGTTTTCAGTCTCTGAAGTAGCTTACTCTGTGCACCATGCGAATCTGGGGTTGCCAAGAAGGGTGCACCCCATCCTCATTACCAAGCTCTTTGTACAGTCCCTCTCATTAAAAGACTACTGTATCTTGGTCCAGCTACTTTAAACTACACTATATTCGTCCTCACTGGGAAAACATCTCCTCATGCTGCTGAAAACTATTAGCTGACAAGGATGCAGTTAAAAGGAGTTAGGGGCTGAAGCGCCGCAGAGCATGGGAGGGGTAGCGAGGACGCTCACCGAATGAGTTCGTCGCTGTGCCATTGCCATCAAATTGGGGAAAAAAAATTTAAAACCCAGGAAAATTATGTAAATGTTTCCCAATCGTTTAACTGAAACCAAGAAAGAAATTGTTTTGTTGCTTGTTCTCTTCACGCACAGCTAACCCTACGCGATACAGAGGAAAAGGGATGCTCGCATCACGCAACACCTTACCTGTACCATTGTTCGCGGTGGTCTGAATTGTGGCTTCAGGCCCCATAGTGTCATAATCTTCCTTCATTTCTTCTGCGAAATAAGCATGCACACTTTTAGCATTTTGCGCGTTACGGAGTTGCTTACAAAGCTAAGGGAGCACGCTGGGGTAACGGGGAAGATCCTGCTAAGGGAAGGAGAGAAAAGGGCTGTTGTGGACCCCTACACAATGGCTTTGTTCTGGGCACTGAATGAGTTCAGCGGCGCTGGGTGGACGAGAACTTATTTACTTTAAACATGACAGCAAGTGGTGGAAAACAGAACTGTTTGTTCGGAGTAAATGAAGGGCTTTTCCCAATATCAAATCTAATAACCAGCCGGGTGATAAAAAGGGGTTTTTTTCTTTCCCCCCCCACCCTGTATTTAAAAGAAATAATCAGTTAAGAGACATGGTGAGATCTATACCTGGAAGGAACTGCAAATACAAAAGGAAGATACAAGAAGTTCTTATATCTCCCTTTCTATCTATCGTCACGCAGATCTGAGCCATCACCGTCATCTTAACCTCGTTCAAAGCGCAGCCCGTATTAATATCAAGTGGTGCAGAAATGTGACAAATTTTCAACTGTGGGCAGTTCTTCCCTGCCCGGAGGAGTTGTTTGTGTCTTCTGTGCACTGACAGTCTGCTTTTAGGGCCATAAATTGGGTTAATTCACATGCAAATGAGCATGATATGTGTAGAATTATTTACTAGGTGTTTATCATGGATCCGTTTGCTTTCCATGAAACTGGGGGCTCCGAGTGAGTTAAAATAGCGTTTTGAAGAGGCTGGATGCAGCTCCATCACTGGGGAGAACGCTTATTTTCATGGATGTTTCAGCCTGCCTCAGAGCGCCTGTCAAACTTGGTTTCTTGCTGCTAAT